TCATGCATTGGAAGCACATCTTATTTGTTTTCGCCCACTCCCATCTGTCCGATAACGACATGTCGTTCAGCTTCTTACACTTCGGCGTTACGTGTGCGGCGCCGCAACAGAGACATTCGGTACTCTGTTCGCTCTTTTCTACGGCGGCGTATACGGCCGCGCCACGATCCGTCATCTGTCGCCGAGGTGCCGACATCGTTGCTTTCGGTATGGGTTGCCTAGTGGGTTGCTTCGGGGGCTGCTTCGTGGGTAGCGCGCTCGTTCGTCTCGTTGGTGATGCTATTCGCAGATGTCGGGTCATGAGATCGGCTTCGCTCATTAAAAACTCTGCCATCTTGATGATCGTAGGTCTAGTGTCCTCCTTGTTTTTTTTCAGCGTAGTGACACCAGTGGACCTGTAAGTGAGGGGTCAGCTTCTCTGACACTTCACTCTCAAGCGCGGGATTATGTAGAAATCTCGCCCCCCTGTCGATATCCGCGACGATGGTGGTGATGTTCTGTAGTTTAATGGCGAAGTCAATCACCTCTGTTGTCGATGTTCCTATTACCGGCATCCTTCTCAGATCTTTGAGGGCGCGGTCGATGATGGCCTCTGTCCGGCCGTACCGCTGCTCCAACGTCCTCATGATCTGCGACGGTTCTGTAGCGGATACGAGTAACGCTGCGACTGTCTCTCTCGCTTTTCCACGTAAGCAGGCCCTCAGCCTGGCCAGGTTCTCCGCTGGTGTGATCCTGTACGTCTTTGTAGACTGGTCTACGGCCGCCTTAAACGCTAGCCATTCACTTGCTTCGCCGCTGAAGATCGGGAGATCTTGGGCTTGCCTCGGCGCTACCCTATCCGCTCGTTCGTCCACAGCTCGTTCAATAGCTTTGGCCAACCGGGTGAATCCTTCTTGCATCCCGGCTTCAGGAGCGGGGGACCTCCGTCTTTGCTTCGGCGTCCTCGGCGGTGAAGCTTGCCTTTCTGTTGGCTCTTTCTGCGTAGGCGGTGGGGAATTAATTCTCTGCTCCCCCCGTACTTCGGTACGTTGAAACCAATCCGTTATACGTTGCAGGCCGGCACCTTCCTCGGAGCACACGCTATCTCTATCGGTCTCTTCATGTACCGCGGCGACATCGGCTGCCAACTTCTTTCTAATTAAATCAGCCTGTAATTTCGCCATCTGTAGCGCTGCCTCGTACTCCAGCCTCTTTAATTTAGCTATACCGCTAGCGGTAGAGCGGCGCGATCGCACCGACGCGGCCCGGGCCGGACGTACATCTGTCGTCGGCGGCTGCGACGGTGGCGCCGGTGCGGAGTCCGAGGTAAACGCGGCGCGGGCGGCTTGTGCCTGTGGCGCGCTCGACGGCGCGGCGGACGCGGACATCTGCGTGGTTTCTGAAGGGGACGCTTCTGTCTGTTCATTTTCCCGCGTGGTCTTTTTCTCTGCTCCCGGGGCTTGGCTTCTCGTAGTCGGCATCGTGTTCTATATGCAAGCCCCTAACCTACCGGTCCCTACCTACCTAACCGTCCCTAACAATCCCTCAGGATAACACCCGAGGGGATGGACTATGGGGATAGGAGGGTAGGAATTACCCCGCAGTGGTGCGTATGTACAGACGGGGCGCTCAGGGCCGGTTCGGACTTTCCGACCCCTTTGGCAGTGCCTACAGTCCGGCCCCCGCTATACGATACACACGTACAGGCGTAATAGTGCTATTCGGTTGCGCCACGGTAACAAGCAACAACCGGCAGTGACACACCACCCACTGCACCGCTCAATGGCGTTAACCCACACTCCGACCGTTTGACACCGTTAGGTGGTAAGAGATGTGAGCCGCGGACACACCGCTTAGACGTTATCTATCCTATATGGCGTAGACGTTATTTATCCTATCCTCGCTGCACCCTCAAGTTTTCACCTTACGACGGCAGCTAAATTCGGTAAGCTGCTAGCGTCGCACCGTTGGGTGATCTTCCTCGGCGAGGTACGTCGCACCGTTGGGTGATCTTCCTCGGCGAGGTACGTCGCACCGTTGGGTGATCTTCCGCGGCGATTCGTCGCACCGTTGGGTGATCTTCCACGGCGATTCGTCGCACCGTTGGGTGATCTTCAGTCTTGATATCCGGCTCGAAGGACCACAAAATTGTGGGGTACACAATTAAAAGGTCTTCGATTTTCAAAATATGTGGACTGTATTTCAATTTGTTTCTTATTCTATGGGTCGGCCGGCCGGAGTGGGGTTTTCTTGGTCGTTGCGCCGGCGGTGGTTCTTCGTCGGTGGCGTATGCGTAAGAGAGCGCGATCGAGAACCAACCCGCCTTTTACGGGCGCCCGAGCGCGTCCTTCCCCACCCCCGCCGAGCCGTGCGCGTCGGCCGTCCCACCCTCCCGACAATTCCTGCACATGTCGGTGACCGACGGGCCGGAACAGCGAATACGCACACATTTAAAATTAAATACAATAGTAACAACACAAAAAACTACAAAAAACCACGTGCGACTAAATGCCACATGTTCAGGCTACACTAAAGCTGTGATCCCTAAGAATTTACACAATGGGCGGACATAGAATTCACAGTATCTATGCCGCTACAAAGGGTATATGGTACAAACAATAGTCTAACCTAAACAATAGTCAAAACACTGGAAAAATACAAATTTTTACACAAATTTATTTACATATTTTCGATGCCGACTCGTGGTCCGCAACATAAAATATAGTTTAACAATTATACTCAATATATATATAATTTTTAATTCTTTTAAAAGTCTTTCGTTTCAAATATATTAGCATTACTTTCTTTTCGTTTTAAATTTCAGTTGAAATCTAGGAAATATTTATAAAAAAAAATTCAATACTATTTATTTCTATTTAAAAATCTTTCAAATATTTGAAGTAACTCTCGGAAGCTAGGAAAATGAATATACCATGTCTAGATCGACTTTAAATTGGCAACAATAACGCATGAAGCATTTTATACATACTGCTAATGTACATAACATTGCGACGTTGGCAACCACAATTGCTCTGATGGGCCGTGAATAGTTCCCAACAAAGATTAAACACATCTACATACATATACATACAAATAAAATTGGAGTGTGTGCATGCATATGAATATATATACGATACATGCACCAAAAAACATTTATTACAATTTTTGTCTGTCTGTCTGTTTGTTCCGGCTAATCTCTGAAATGGCTGGACCGATTATGACGGGACTTTATTGGCAGGTAGCTGATATAATAAGGAATAACGTAGGCTACTTTTATTTTAGAAAAACCATTTTATTTTAGAACAAAAAGTTATATTCCACGCGGATGAAGTCGCGGGTACAGTTTGTACAAAATGAATATCACTTGTACAATATTGTCGCATTGGACTGTCGTAGTGGCATTGAATATGTTTAATATTCTATTTTAGATGTGTTTTGATTTCTGTTAACGTTTTAAATATTAGTATTCTTTTTTTTTAAGTTATATCCGCCTTACATCATTTTTTTTCGTAGTGGCATTAAATATATACACTGATGACTATTTTAGAGCTGTATATATGTGTGTTTTTGTTTGCTGTTATCTTTTTAAGTATTAGTATTCTTTTTTTAAATAATATCCGTTTTATTACAATTGTTTTATAGTGGCATTAAATATATACACTATTGTCTACTTTAGAGCTGTATATATGTGTGTTTTTGTTTGCTGTTATCTTTTTAAGTATTAGTATTCTTTTTTTAAATAATATCCGTTTTATTACAATTGTTTTATAGTGTTATTGAATATATACTCTGTTGTCTACTTTAGAGCTGTATATATGTGTGTTTATGTTTACTGTTATCTTTTTAAATATTAGTATTCTTTTTTTAAACTAATATCCGCCTTATTACATTTTTTTTATAGTGTCATTGAATATATACACTATTGTCTACTTTAGAGCTGTATATATGTGTGTTTTTGTTTACTGTTACCTTTTAAATATTAGTATTCTTTTTTTAAATAATATCAGTTTTATTACAATTTTTTTATAGTGTTATTGAATATATACTCTGTTATCTATTTTAGAGCTGTATATATGTGTGTTATTGTTTCCTGTTAACTTTTTAAATATTAGTTTTTTTTTAAAGTAATATATCATTAGTGGTTTACCACACTGCCTTACTTCCGATGGGTTGGGTTTTATTTCAAGCACTGTATGAAAATTTATATTCATGAGTATGATGTTAGTACCAATCTGGGTATTTTCAATGTATGTATTTATAAAATATACATATTTAAGTATTTATGTAACACGTTGTCTAGCGCCCACAACACAAGCTCTGCTTATTATGGGGCTATGTATATGGGTTGTTCATTGTTATTATTGTTTTAATGCACTCCTAGAGAGATTAAGACTAACAGAGATTTTCGATCGAAAATCTTTAAGTAAGATTTCCGATCTAGTAATTAAAAGAAATTATAACAATATTTATTGGATGAAATAAATTTCATTATAATCGCTTTTTAATATACATTTTTTATTCCACATTCACACATTCAAAATGTAAACCTCAACCAAAAAGAACGAGCAAGAAACTTATCTGGTACGAAACCTGTTCTTCACTGAAAAAATATTAAATATATTTTCATTCTATCTATATACTAAATCAACTTGTTTGTCTCCAATATATATATAAAAAATACAGACTACGAAACAGTTCAAAATCATAAACAAAACTTTATAAACGGCGTTCAATTAAAACGTTTGATAATCTGTTAAAACTTTATCATCTGTTACATTACAACGAAAATAGAGACGACCGTAAATGAAGTAACAAAACCGACTCACCGTCAGATCCGGTAGTCCCATGCCAATGTACTTCCTAATATAACCCCACACAAACATCACACATCACGTATAATCATCACCGATTATATATACATACACGCACTAATTCATCACGACTATCTATCACTATCAAACTACATTTTGGGGAATGATGAATAAATGTGACATTAGTGGTAAGGTTCAGTCGATACTAGTTCATGCACTAGAGAGCGGTGCGATGTATGGTGTTTTGATGGGTGACGCGACGCAGACCTTGCGGCAGCATAACACGCTGTGAAGCATCGGGAGAGACTGACTGGATGCTGGGACAGCTGTCTGATGTACGAAAACGGAGATACGAAATGTTACGCCAATGGATGCGGTAACTAACGCATTTATTTCATACTAGCTGTGCCAGCGGTTTCACCCTTATGAAATTTATAGCCTATATATTTGTCTGTATAAGCTATATTACTGTAAAGTTTCATCAAAAACAGTTCAGCAGTTTTTGCATGAAAGAGTAATAAATATACATCCATAGTCGCAAATTTCGCTTTTATTAAAAAGAGCTTATTCCTTCCTAAAAGGCCACGCAATTGCAATTCCCTTGGTGTTACGGTGCTCATATGCTCATGTGCACTTACCATCAGGTGAGCCGCAAGTTCGTTTGGTTCTCTATACTATAAAAAACCTACTATACCGCATCCAAAAATCATGACTCCGAGATGTTCTATATAACTGGCTCCTGTACGTAAACACGCAGCTGTGTAGGGTTGCCCGCTGCCAGATATTTGGGCGGTGTTTATCTTCCTACTTGTGCAACTGGGGTCAGCTGTAAGTACCTGATGGCAATTACGTTGCCCAACTACCGTCTGATTACGTGTTCATTGCATCCGTTACTTGCCTTATTATTTTGATATACATGTGCGTTGATGACTAATAAAAAAAAAATTCTTAGTGCTGTGGTCAGGATATCGTTTTGCGTAAATGAACTGTCATGTTTTTGTATTTATATAATTGTTGTATCTATACAACAATTTAAAAGGTAAAACTCTCTGTCATTTACATATAGAGGTCGGCTTTGTATGTTCATAGTCTCTTAGACCAACACAGTCCATCTCCAACTACTACAGTTCGCTAAGTTCTTCCGCCTATTTCATAGCAGATATAAATGTCGACTTAATGTGGAGTAAGTAAAGTAAAACTAGTTTTGAGATATTCGCACTAAAAATTAAAAACTATTTAGACCTTCCATAAACTGAACTATTAATGGAATAGTGGCAATGCATTTGAGTTTGTCATTCCATCTAAAGTGTCCAACATATCGTTTGGACACTTCAGGTTTCGTATTTGGTTGTGTGGGCTATTGAAAACATATTCATCGTGGGTTGCCCATTCATCTATCTTATATAGCTATATGTATATAACTAGCTCATTGCCTAAGTCATTTGTAGAATATGGGTAAGTTTAGATCCCGTAAATATCGTGTACTTTGTCGCGATATATATCCGAATATCCGTAATATAATGAATATGTAAATTCTTTCTTTCTAACATTGAAGACCTTATATGTTACGTGTAGAATGTCAAAACGGCGTATACGCCAACTTTAAAATTGAATAGAATAGGAAATCCTTTATACATATTTTAAAACCACTGGTTATGAGGACGAGGCCCTGATGCCGGCCACCGATGGTTCAAGGAGAGAACCCCAAGTAGTGCCCGAGACTTGTTACACGGCTGTAGGTTTAAAGGGCTCTTTTAGAACGCATTAACACTCACTTTCACTACTTGTGGTGTCCTCCCAGTCCCAACTAATAAACCCCCCAATGGCTTCATTATTCACAATTACCTATCACTTATTTGTTTTTATAATAATAAACACTCCAAACTCCCGATACCCAGTCCAATCCATCAATGTCCCAAAGATTATTTAGGCTCTGGCCTCTACTTGGCTATCTACTTGTCAATGTACCAAAGATTACTTAGGCTATGGCCTCTACTTGGCTATCTACTTGTCAATGTCCCAAAGATTATTTAGGCTCTGGCCTCTACTTGGCTATCTACTTGTCAATGTACCAAAGATTACTTAGGCTATGGCCTCTGCCGTTCCGTTTCAGGTTACTCTGAATGCCTTAGATAAAGGAATGTAATAATTGATTTGCCATTTTTATTTAATGTTGCCTTACACGATAATTAACATATATAAACTTCAATTTAAGCAGTATTGAATAGCTTTACGGTGGGTGTGTGGGGAGAGGGGGGTGAGGGGTGGGGGAGATGTGTTACTGTGCAACAGCCCTATAAATAAAGCATATAACTCAAATTGTAGTAACATCCCGCGTATTAGGGTCGCGTTAAACGACTCCCACTGTCTAGTGTGAGTGTACGCTGACTCATTGGTTATTTCGTTAACTTTCTAATACTAGAGGATTGTTAGTAATGTGAACCCATTGCTGACCTGACATCATGGTCACCCTATGATTCTTCACCGGTGCCCCGCCAGCGTATACCTTCAGCACAGGTGATGCACCATTTATAGTGAAAACTGACTCTATATATATATCTATATACTATATTGGCTCTATATATATACAGCTAATTATTTCCTTACATCCTATTACCTACATTAGGTATTTTTTCAATTTCGATGATTCTTTGAAAATTTATTCTAGGGAGTACTAGAATAAATATTCAAAGTGTATCACGGGTACAGGCTGTATCGTATTATATAATTTTTGCATTGAAACATCCATGTTTGCCGTACCAATAAATATTGCAATAAATCAGAGCAATTGTGCCTCGTTTGTCAACGTAGTGCTTTCAATTGGTCCTACATTAAAACCAATTTGTTGTTAATGGCAGTCAGTCCCTACGTCGTCCGGGTTTTTCAATATATATCACACATATATTACATAGTATATATCGTTTTTAATAAAAACAATAAAATAGCAGTTTTTGGAATAAATGCTTAAATTTTTTCAAGAAAAACACACAAACTTACAAAATCAACATCTGTACAAATAAAGTGTATATTTCTAATTTCAAATTAATAGCTTTCCACTACTGTATATGAAAGTATATGCGATACTTATATAAAAAAATAATAGTTTTTTTTGTCTGTCTGTTTGTTCTTGCTAATCTCTGAAACGGCTGGGCTGATTCGCAGATGTGAGTGAAAGTTCCGTCAAAATTCTAAAATAATTGCTTAACTTAATCCAATTTAGGGTACTTTTAATTTAGAAATTTTATTAATTTATATTTTAGCGGATGACGTCTCGGTTAACCAACTCTACTAATAAAATTTGTATTTGAAAGACTCCAGACATAACCATACCTTCAACTATTTATTTATTTATTAATCGGAAACAATATAAATTGTGAAGATCAAGCTCTAAAACATAACTACCTCTTTCTTATAACAACACACTTGAAGTTGGAAGAAAAGGACCTATCGAATCAGAAAAGATATTTTATTGAAAATTTATCTACATAGAGCTAGTAAATATATCATATAACATAAATAACATAAAAAAGAAGATACAATTGTAATAGAAAACAGAAAACAAACAAGTGCAATGAAAAACAAAAAAGTAGTTTGTCGAAAAAAAGACAAATAAAACTGTACATCCTCAAAGACACAAATTAAGAAAACCTATTTTTATCAATAATGTCGAAAAAAGACAAATAAAAGCTTAAGACAGACACTAATCTGGGCGACGAAAACATATTTTTATCAATTTTGTTAGCATTAAGAGATTACTTAAATAAATAAACTTTAAAAACGGAAAAGAAGTTACAATTGAAATATACACCTATTTTGATCAAGTTTGTCAAAAAAAGACAAATAAAAACTTAAGACACAAATTAACACAGGCGACCAAGTGTGCACAAACGTACAAATAATCACCGCATCACCCTTTGATGTGCTAACGGATTACAGTCGCCGGCTGGGAACGTGAAAACAAATGACTCATGCCCACTGCAGCCAGATTTTATGTCCACACATAAACGCACACCGTAGTCGTATAAAGTGCATTCTCACTGCCATTTTATATCCTATGCTGAAATGAACTCATTTTAAAACTCGAAACGAAATTACGACAACCTGAGCTTTCGAACCTCCAAAAGTGCCCTCAGACTAAACTCGTATCATTCAGACGCTCCATAAGTTCTTCTATAGATTTGGAGTGTCATCTGCACTCGTGGGTGAGTGAGTCATATCATACGGTGAGATATAAAGGTTAGTCGGCCAAAATCATTAGAGTAGTCAGAAAAAAAAACTCTATAACAGAAGCTCCTAATAAAGTAAATTGCTTAGATACAGAAATTATGTGAAACGATGCGCTTGCGCTTGCGATGCGCGAGGATCAGAGGAAGATTTGACTTTGTAAAATCTTCCTCTGATCCTCTTCGTCCTCGTTTTTGTAATCCATAGAAAGTTGTCCTCTGATGTATCCCACAAAATGATTTTATTAGGGTTTTCCTATTAAAATTCAAAATATCTTTATTCATGTACTACACAGACTATTACAGACTCTTAAGATATGTCAAATCTACCGTCAGTTCGAAATGACTTCGAGATGAGAGGAACTGACAAGAAACTGAGCGTATTCTTCCTAACCTAAATTATAAAGAACAATCGTTTGTATGAACTACTGTCGATTAAGAACGATTTGTTACACTATTTGTTATTTTACGTGTATTTGTCACAATATTATACCGATTATTTTAGACAACTCTAATATTATTTAATATTTTTTCTATGTATAATATGTATGTATTTACGAAAAAAAAAAAACATATCTATGTATTTGTATCAGTTGTCTAGTACCCATAACACAAGCTTTAGGTAGCTTAATTTGGGTCTAGATGGCACTGTCTGAATTATCCTGAGATTATTATTATTATTATTATTTCTACGATTCTTTTTTTCAATCGACACTTTTCCTCTAGTGTATCGTATAAAATTCGTTCTGACTGAAATAGGAATTTCCTACCCTAAATTATAAAGAGCAACACGCAAGTTTCTTGCTCATTCTTGTGATGAGTCTGCGTTCCTAATAAGTGGTAGAATAAAAGAAATATGACTATTCAAAAGTGCTTATATTAAGTCTATTTGAATACAGATTATTTCTACTTTGACTTGTTTGTAGAGCTAATGTTGGATACAAAGAATTTGCTACACTATTAGTTATTTACGTTTATTAGTCACATACTATAGTTAAACCGTCATGCTTTTCAGTTCAGCGATTCGTTCCAGTTAGCCCGATTTCTCTCAAGTATTCCCCATAAATATGGAATGGATCATAATAATTCGTTTGAGCCAATGTCCCTATAAATATGATGAAATACAGTTCTGGATTTAAACACGTACAATTTGATTTGTTGGATGTATTACGATTTACGATTTATCGGTATCATATATTGTAGGTTTACTATTTTATTTAGTAGGATACAACAATAGGTTATAATTTTTGGTTTATGAATCTATAGGAATGAAACAAATAATAATAACGTCCGAGACAATTAATACAGCATCATATACTCCCAAGCTAAGCAGAGCTTGTATTACGGGTACTAGATAACTGACATAAATACTTAGTTTTTTTTTATAAATTCATACATAATATATATAGAGAATACCCAGTGTACGGTACGTCACCGTACAGACGTTAGCAGATGCTGACTGCTGTATACATATAACATCCACACATACCATGTTCCCTCCATTACACCCAAATACACACAAGCATCAGTCCACACTCACGATGCATGTGTACTTATTAAATTAAGTTGGCAAGCAATCCGAACTCGTCATTTAAACATCATTGGATCCAGATTGTGTGGGTCACAGCGGACTTATACATCCAGACCGATACAAACAATTATACTCATGAATACAAATGTTTACACCGTGCGAGGGATCGTTGAAAACACCCAGACCGATACAAACTATTATAAAAGTGAAAGCGAATCCGCGACTTCATTATACCTTTAGATAATAAGGTGAATTATAGTTAACCGATTTGAGCATTGTGACCTACATAACAACTAGGAGTACCACAAGGTAATATATTGGGACCACGCCACGGCTGCATTGCTAGTATTGTTCAGTTGCCAGGTATCTACGCAAGGGGCTATGATTGGAAAGCTTTTAAGTTTGTATACGTAATCTGTGATATCACTAATATATATTTGGCACCACGATATAACAAAATTACTAATACGACTATTGCTTCTACCATTTCTCTAAACTGTGGTAGCGACAGCATATATTCAAGATATAAATTATTACAATGTATTTGTTTAGATTTTGAAGCGTTTGGGCCAAAATTTTTTTAGAAACTAAAGGTTCCCAAACCACAACAGTAAAAATAAGATGGGTGGATCATGAAAGACCATGCTCCTTGTAAGCCCAGTTATTAAAAAATAAGGAGGTGGACCACAAAAGACGTCTATGTAATCTATGAAACTATTTTTAGCAGTTATATAATTGCAAAAATATGATTGATATTTAATAAATTAAATACCAAGCACATTCTAACAATAAATATTGTAGAATTGAAGAAAAGTGCTTTCAAATACATATACACAGAAGCTACACTTACTGTAAGTTAATTATACAAGTTAAGTAAGTAATTGTTCCTGCAAACATGAGCTGTGGTATTTTTTTAACTATTCTAATGCTGATGGCATTCTAAACTCGCAGAAGGATTTATGGAGCGGAGCGGCTGAAGGCTAACTTCTGCACGACCCTCAGACTAAACTCGTATCGTACTAAGTGTTCGTACGAGTACGTATTTCGGCTCGGGCCGTCGTAATTTCTATCACCGTTTGAATTCGATGGGTAATCAATCGATCAAAAAGTTAACGGTTATTTATCTCGATGATGAACGGCATAATAGTTAATTAAATAACAAACAAATATTGATTTTAGTATCTGAATACCCCATTGCATATTTTCAAGTAAACGTCAATAAACAAAAGTTCTGAAACATTGTATGGACACATGTTTATATAAAAATAACGGCAATCACTTCACGATTTTTCACAGCGCCGGCGTGGTGTTGTTACAGAAATAAATTTGGAATTTTGCCAACTGTGAATGAAACGCACTCCAGGGCTGCACCTTAATAATAATAACCGTGACAGTTCACACCACGTCTTTGAGTACTAAGGTAAGCAGATTTGTATTATAGGTACTAGAAAAATAATATAAATATATACGTTTTTTTTTTGTAAATATAATATATATATATATATATATATATATATATTTATATATATATATATAAAATTCTCGTGTCACAGATTTCGTTCTCATACTCCTCTGAAACGACTTGACCGATTCTCATGAAATTTTGTGAGCGTATTGAGTAGATCTGAGAATCGGCCAACATGTTAGGGGTAGTCCACCCCTAAATTTTGTTTTTATTTTAAGGCAAAACAACGTTTGCCGGGACAGCTAGTATTATATATAGAAAAGACTCAGATCAATACAAACAAACATACTTATGAATATAAATGTTAGTATCGTGCGAGGAATCGTACCGATGACGTAATTTGAAGTAAAGTGGTGTGCTAAACCGCTAGACCACCGAGGTCATCGGGTCAAACCAATTATTATTATATATTTAAGTAATTCTATCGATCATCTAGAACCTGCAACAGGGTTCAGCTGAGCTTGAGACTGCAAATGTGTGAATTCCTGGGTTACGAAAATAAATTAAAAAAAAAAATAGTCACGTACCTGCGCGACATCCTTGAGCTGCGCGCGCTGCATGTCGAGGTCCGCGATGCGCTTGAGAGCGGTGTCCTGCGCGCGGCACAGCGCTGACAGCGCCTCCTGCACGCGCTGCAGCGGCTGCGGGCCGCCCGGGGCCACGGGCGAACACGCCAACTCGGACGTCTCCGGGGACGAACACTGGCGCACAAACATATCTTATTTATTTACTCATTTATACGGCGGCGACACCGGCATCATTGGCGACATCGGCAACTCAGACATCTACGGAGACGACCACTGTCACAAGCATATCTTTTATAACATCTACTCGGTGTTGTACTTACACATAGAGTTTACACTACCACTTTTAGATACTATACTATATATTCAGAGAAATATGCTCGCTGCAGGGCGCCGAGCACACCTCGTGCGCGCGCTCCACCTGCTCCGTGCGCCGGTCGACCTCCCCCCGCCCCCCTGTCCCCCTGCCCCCGGCCCCCCTCCCCCCACACTGTACCTCGCGTCGTGCGGGCGGGCGGCGCCGGTCTCGCAGCGAGACGTCCTCGCTGGGCTCGCTGCAGGGCGCCGAGCACACCTCGTGCGCGCGCTCCACCTGCTCCGTGCGCCGGTCGACCTCCCCCCGCCCCCCTGTCCCCCCGCCCCCGGCCCCCCTCCCCCCACACTGTACCTCGCGTCGTGCGGGCGGGCGGCGCCGGTCTCGCAGCGAGACGTCCTCGCTGGGCTCGCTGCAGGGCGCCGAGCACACCTCGTGCGCGCGCTCCACCTGCTCCGTGCGCCGGTCGACCTCCCCCGCCCCCCTGCCCCCGGCCCCCCTCCCCCCACACTGTACCTCGCGTCGTGCGGGCGGGCGGCGCCGGTCTCGCAGCGAGACGTCCTCGCTGGGCTCGCTGCAGGGCGCCGAGCACACCTCGTGCGCGCGCTCCACCTGCTCCGTGCGCCGGTCGATCTTCTCCTCCAGCCACCGACACTGCACACACAGTACACACTTTAAAAACAAACTCAAAAACATTAGAAATAGAACATAAAATACCTTATTGAAATAAATTTGAATAAACATACTTATTCTTTTTAATGTACCGTTCATTCGAAAAGCCTTAGAAAGGCTATGGAGCTGAATGTTGACCTAGGTCAACAAAAAGCATACGATCAAGGTGAGAATGTTAAGATGAGCAGGTGGACTCAGCTTGTTACACAGTCAGGAATAACCATATTCTCGGCTGCTTTATGATTCGTCCCACCGAAGACAAACTCGCCGAGACAAAGCTGAGGTTATATGGCCACAGGTAATGAGACGAGAAGAGAGTTATATGACCAAAACGGCTTGAACTTTAACACTGGCCCAAAGAGACGTGGAAACCCCTACTGGCTTAGCAGTTGGTAATCAATAACGACCTAAGTAAACTGAAATAAACGACTCTTCGACCCTGGAAAGATGTGCCTGGCGAAGAATGACTAGAAAAAGCCGCTGTCAAATGAAATGGGAAAAGGCTTGGCAGACAGAGAAAGAACTCATTCGGAAAACTCTCATTTGAAGAACGGGCAAAAAATTTGCGTGTTGCTCTTTTAAATAATTGTCGAAACATAAATATTTTTAGCGGTTTAGCACACCAGTTTAATTCCGATGGCCATTGTTTGGATTCCTCGCAATTTATGTTAATGAGTATAATAGATTGTACTGGTCTGGGTACTCCGGATGTTTTATTCTCAGTGTACATATTCTAATCTATATCCATATGCTATAATAGTGAAAGTACCAACTTGTATGAAATACCAACCTGCTCTTGAACCTTCTCCAGCAGTTCCGCATATCTATCTTCCTCCTGTCCACATTGTACACACGTGACTTCAGTCTGATCCGCTTTCTCTGTTTTCATCGACTCCAGCTCCCCCAGTAGGGACCTCAGCCTGCCGTCCCTCTCGTCTATCGTCTTTCTCATTTCCTCCAACTGCTGCAATATCTCCGCTTCGTGCGCAGTCTTCTGTTCCAGCTGATTCTCGAGGTTTCCTATTATATCTCTGAGCAGAGTAATCTTTTCCTCTGTAGCTTTAAGTTCTTCATCAGAAGCAGCTTTCTTTGTTTCTAAATCGTTTATGATTTGGTTCATCTCACGGGTCTGGGTTTCAAGTTGCTCGACCTGTTAAAGAGAGAATTTATTCTGTTATACGAAATGCCTCTAAACTGCAGGATAGAATAAAAAAATATGTTCAATGTTCATTAAATCATTTACAGATGATGTTAATTTAGCAATTTCTGTGGCTTCCCGTGTTCAATGATTGTTTTTATAGGCAGAGCAGATTTTCAGAATTCTTTGGCGAAAATTTACACAAATATGTCAACAACTTTAGAAGTTCCAGAGTTAATGTCAGTAAAAAAATTAGTAATATTTCGCTTTTCTGATTGTTATGAAATAATCCCAATGATAGTGAGATAAAAGTCCTCATTAAAGCCCATACAAATTGGATGTTCTATAAAACCTCTTTCAATGTTGCCATGAATCTTGTAAAATATATTAAAGTGTAAATAATATCAACACAAAATATAGAATTAAACTAAAATGATACACCAAATGATAATGAATTAATTAAAGTAAACCACAAATACTATATTTGTACAAATATTTGTATTGCTATCTAATATAAAAATTATAATCATAATAAAGATGTACAAACTGATCTATTTGAACCAATGTAAATAACATTTTTTTAATATAATAACATGCAGGCGACCTCGTCTCGGCACAATTTACAATAAAATTATAACCTAACTAAATTTACTAGTTTATTTTTACAAAAGACACGCTAAAGATAGATGTACAAAAGACACCCTAAAAATACCAGTATTTAATATCTGATATTTTATGTATGAATAAAATAAAAGAACATTGAATACTCATAACTACGGACAATTTAAGTAAATTTCATCTACTTTTCTATATATGTATGTACAGCATTTATATACCACACGTCTTATAAACCCATTTTAGCTATTGAAATGTTCTGTCCTATTCTTTCGTGGTATTTTCTTAATTAGACAGAAAGTAACAAAGCACTCCAAATAGTAAAAATAGGTTATAGTTTTTATAAGTGTTAATGGTTAATATCTCACTACAAACAATATTCTATTGTAGAGACAATTACAATAGAATATTATATATATAAATAAGAGCTAAATAGACTAAAACCGTCTAAACACAGTCATAAAATCAGTGGCGATATACTCGATTTTAACCGTTGATATTCTTACAAATGCTTTAAAAATGTACCATAGTAATAAATTAATTTGACTTTTAATTGCGTACACGGTGCCTTATACGCCTAGATCACGTTGATCTAGGAAATGATATAGGAAACTGGCTGTTTATTAATATAGTTAAACTGGTTTTAACATGAAATAATTTATTATAAATTAAGGTTGAAACGTCGAAAGAGTTAAATAATCTTTACATAGTATAAAATGAAGTCGTTTCTACTGTGTGTACTAGTACTACTTAGATCTTTTAAACGACGCAACAGATTTTAATAATGGATATAGTGATCTAAGAGGTAGTTTTATATGTATAATGTATGTACACCCGTGTGAAGCTAGGGCTAGTAGCTAGTTTATCATAAAATTCTTCGTGTTAAAACTCGTTCAACTATATTAATAACGTGTACTAAGCGTCAAAGTTTAATAAGACTGTCTGTTTGTTCTGAATTTGCCACTGTTTTTAGAGCTGTATGAAAATTCTAGAATCAGACTATATACGTATAAATAGAGTATCGTATATATACATATATAGGTGGCTATGTATATAGAGTAACATATATAGACATGCGAGGGTGGGCATGCGTGGAGCGTGGTGGTAGGTGGTGACAAGCGTGGTACTCACGTGGTGATGGTGGGCGCGGCCGCGAGCATGCCGGTGCTGCATCTGTGGACACCGTGTTAGTTGCCAACACCACACGTAAACACGCTACGTGCACAGTGGTTAATTGTGCTGCTTCAGTGTTAGATAGATAGAGATGGAGATAGATTCGCAAGCATCTCATATGGTAACTAAGCGTGTCATCATTAAAAATTCCAGTAACGATGTTACTAAAACTATTTATTCTTATAAAACTCACTTCCGCCGTAAAATATTATTCATAACATTTTCTTTACAAATTTGAGAAGAAAAGATTTTACAGTATCTAAATCGGGTAAAGTTTTTTAGAGAATTAACATCGTTTTAAATTTTAGAAGTCGTCGTTTGAAATAAGTGTTATATAAAAGAATTACTATAAATTACAAACACACTTTCAACAATTTTGTAATATATTTATAAAAAAATAACTTAAAGATTTATTTATAAATAAAAATTTATTTTGCAAGTCGATTGTTAGTAATGCGAATTATTGACCGCATTACTATAAATGTACCAAATCTTTTTTTAATGTCACATATATAGTACATAACCTCTAAGTACGTCATTTGAGTTCCAAATTCGTCTTCAAAAAATTTAGTTTGTAAAATTGACATGCAAAGTAGAAAGTTGCGAAATCTATTCCATCAATATCAGTGTTAATAACAGAACATATATTACTTTAAAATTAAAAAAAAAACAAACGTTTTGAGTTAATGCGGTTTGCATTAACTCAAATTGTTTCTGTTTTTTGAAATTAGACCTTAAACCAAAACCTTATAGTCGGTTTTGCAAAATTAGGCGTGCTATATACTAAATCATATTAGTTTTAATTTTAACATGTTCCATTATCAACTCTAAGTTTTATATAAATAAAGGTAGATTTAGAATTACATTTGCAGTGTAAACGGAATGAGAAAACATGTTAACCAAGTTTTATATATATTGTTACTTCAGTGTAATCTTACATGTAGCTTACATTTTGTTTTATAGTTTACATCCACCTTCATATATACAAATAAAATAGAAATAAGTCAAAATAAATAAATATATATTATTATTTTTACTTATTTCAATTATTAATTATTTAGTGACTAGCAGAGTCTGTGCATTTTACAAGCAGGCGTACAGTGTTTAGTAGTTACCAGGGATACGAAATAAAAGTTACGGATAATATCGGATAGGGGCGGGGCCTAATTGGGACACGTTATGTAACCATTTTATTAGTTATTTGTATTTTACTTCTTGAAATTCCTTTAAAAGGTAATATCCGTAACCGAAATTATCCGAAACTAACGGATAATCCGAAATAATTTCATATCCGCATCCCGTATAATAATCATTCCTATATCCGTAACCTATCCGTATCCGAAATTTCATATCCATAACATCCCTGGTATTTACAAACAAACATACTTTTTTGTTATTCTTTATTTGTAAATTATATTCAACATATAACAGGTAGATATTTATTAACCAACTCCAAAAACTTCTGATATTAATTTTACCGTAATTTTTTACGTACCATAAATACGTTTATAATGTTCTATAAAAAAGCGCAAATTGTGAATAGGACATATACAATAAGACATACATATATACAGTACCGTAACTACAACCGTTTTTATTTCTTTTAATATTCAGGGCCTTGTACAATCTAAAAGCCAGTCCCATTGTACCCTAAAACTAATTACTATATTATCTCACCAGTGAACACATTGTCTTAACTGCATTATCCGAAAACTACAACCTAAAAAACGTTTATTTAGAAACAAAGTAATAGTACAGAAATAGTAAATAGTAAAGAAAGTTCTAGTACTTCTAAAGAAAATAACATTGACAGAAAAAATAATGGTGTCATTTTTCGCGCGCCTCTCTCGCGTATACTTTGTTCTGTAGGTACGCCAGTAAAAACATACACAGCCAATGTATCATACAAGCGAAATATCAACAACCATCAATTATTTCATTGGGATCAATCAAATTCTTGTTATTTGTATTAAAAACATCTGCCGGCCAATATTGATAATTGTTTCAGTTTTTCTTGTTATTCTCGTATTGTGCATAACGCATCTTTTTATATATGATAATTATATATTTTTATATATATATTTAAATATTTTATGTTTCGTTCAATTTTTATTGCCAATTTGAAATATATATCTTTACCTTCAGCGACCATAGTTTCTCTTAAAACTAAAATTAAAATATATTAAAAATACAGTCCTTAGAAACATTAATAATTAAAACGTATGTTATTTAGCAAATACAGAATAAGAATTTCTGTGTTCACAAGCAAATAAGAATCTTAATAACAAGCGAATAAGCTTTACTTAAAGGAAACAAAATTGAGTTCTAAAAATAAACAGATGAAAAGAAATATACAAAAACATTTTGTTAATAATAAAAACTAATTGATAACTCCTCCTCAGATGAAGATACTATGATATAATATAGATTAGGTTATGTTATTTTTTTTTATCATTATGTTGAGGGCAAACAAGCATGCGGCCCATGTAATTGTAAATAGTCACCGTAGCCTATTGAAGCCTGAGACACCAGGTGTCATGTTGCCAACCCTAAAGAAACCTTAACATCTTGTAAAACACCACGCTGTAGTCTTTAGAGAAAACCTCATCAGGTAATTCATTCCACAATCTAAGCTTAAATTTAATCAATTGTGCATTTTCTATTACCAGCTGAAGGAAGTAAAGAATTTATAATAACTTGTTTTCAGTTACTTAGAATGAGCGGTAGATTGAAAAAAAAAGTGTTTCTATTAAAAAGTGCTTCAATGTAAGTTTATTTGAATAAATGATTTTCTATTCTATTCTATTTATTTATTATATTAGACACTTGACTATTTTTAAATGCTGTTACGTGTGTAAAATATCGATGAATATTTCCCCTGAGTATATCTTAAAATAATATATTAAATATTTAACGGACTGATATTTTCATCCCGTACATTGTATTTAGACAGCCTACTTTAAGAGAAGCTAATTAATCGGTTAGTGTGAGCTAGGGAACATAAAAATAGAGTACATCCACTGCGGCACTAACTGAGTGAAGGTCCCTAATACGTTAAAGACCGCATGCCCCACAGGTGGGCCGCAAGAAAGTAAATTTAAACGTTGGAATCGGATATTCACCCGTGGGTACTTTAATTGAAATAAATCTAGGAGTTAAATAATATTTATCTCAAATTATTGTACATTAAAAACATATTTAAAAAATAATATACGTAATCATTACATAGTATAAAATAAAGTCGCTGTCGCTGTCTGTCCATCCCTATATATGCTTAAGTCTCTAAAACTACGCGACGGACTTTGAAGCGGGTTCTTTTAATAGATAGAGTGATTCAAGAGGAAGGTTTATATGTATAATACATGTACACCCGTGCAAAGCCGGGGCGAGTAGCTAGTTAACAATAAAAAAATATCGGTCCCTATGTGAGAAATAAAATTTTTCAATGTGGTCTTCAACGTAGTTCTTCTCTATAAAACTAATCTTCTCTTTTCTATAAAATAATATTAAACTATGCTGAATAAACTATTATTATTAGATCTAGAACTAACCTCGTTAATAATTCTGGCGTTGTTCTGCAAACGTGTCGCCAGTCTGGAGTTCTCGTCGCGCAGGTCAGCGAGACGTTTCGCGAACTCGTCCCGTTCAGCCTCGCGTTCTGTCGCTTGCTCTTCGACGAATTGTCGCGTGGAGCGCAGTTGACGGTTGGCCGCTTCCAGCTATATCATACATGACAATATATATTACACATCATAGGTTTAGATACACTTTATACGTTAATTTCAAAGTTATAAAATAACTGAAAGAAAGTTGTTGGACCAAGGAGTATAGACTACCGTCGTTAATATACTTGAACAACACCACCGATATTACAAAATGATTTGATTATAAATAAAAACCGAACACATTTAAGGAGTTCTTTATCATAATTTTTTCAACTATCGTTTGTTCTCGCTCGCACACACATAAATCTTACATCTCTGTCACACTTTACGTTCCGATACCTTACATGCCAATTCAAATTTCGATTTATTTAAAAGAAATACCAATATTATATATTACTAACTTTAAAACCTTACATTATGATCCTTGCTTGATTCCAGGTTGGGTTGCCATTTGTAAGGACTAAAGTGTCATGTCTTTATACCCTGTAATTACACTGCCATATCTCACCATTTAACCGGAACACAACTTACCGAGTAAGCTGTTTGGAGGTATAAATAGTAATTTGTACAAAATATTCGTTTAATAGGAACAAATCTAAACGCTGAAAAAAGAATAAATAAAATAAAAATAGGATTGACGAAAGTAACAGTAAAAATATATACAATTTTTTTTATGGAAATTGATGATTATAGAAATTTAATAAATATAAAATATATGTATGAAAAAAATAAACACTTTCAAATCAAAAAGTCTCAAGTATATTAAGTGATATTGTAGTACCAAAGAAAAGTTACTAAAGTACAATATATGTATATATAGAAAACATACAAAATATATATAAAATGAGTAATTATAGTTTGGTCAAAGTAATAATTAATATATGGTACGTTTTATTTATGATACAAAGTCTGTTAAAAGTGCTTGTACAGAATTAGACAATACAATGTTTAAAATTTACTATAAAAAAAAAAACAATTTTGTACGTGCGCTGCAAAGAAAATTATACTGAACGAAAGCCATGCCGCGACAACAATCAAATTTGTCTCATCACGTGTTTGTCCAAATATTTTTACCCGCTTTTTTACTATTTTAATCTATATACAAAATTATAACAAGGTACAGTTTTGTACTTTGTCAGCTTGACACTGTATTAGTAAATCCGTTTATAAATGTTTGAACTTGTACTTGCATTTCACTATGACAAAGTACCTAAATTTACGTATCAAAATATTGATACTTTAATTTAAAATGAACTTTCGAACAAACACAATAAAGTATAATTTAGACTACACGTAAATTTCTTCGTTATTGCAAAAGCACATATTAGGAAATAATAATTTATTTCTTTTTCAAATCCACTGTTATTGGGCACTCCAGGTCCCGATGTCCGAACGCAAACAAATTAAGACAGCGATGCCTGAGAGTAAGTATGGTTTCCAATTGCATTTGTTACATGATCTGATATTTTAAAAATGTAAACAAAATTGAACACTAATATGTAAGGCGTAGCGTTCAAAATACATATTTGGACAAACAATAAACGTGCAGTTACATGTTTACCTTCTCGCAGCATATCTTATGTACAGGTGAATCGGACATCCGTTTAATCTGCGCGTGCGATGTGCCAATTGCAAAACAATAATATAATTATATAATGTGAACAATATATTTTATACTTTATACGTGTTAATATAGGATATATAATTCTGTGATTTACTATACTTGTAGACATATAGATACAGATAATTTATCCTGGAACTTATCGTCAGATAATAAGTTGTCTTTATGAGATTGAGAGGTAATTCTATGACCAGAATTACCTCCTAAGATCTTTTAGATGTTAATCCTGATCTTAATTCTGATTCGTTGTCCGTTCACAAGTAATGTCATTTACAATCTTACGCTTATCTTAAGCTCGTAATAAGATGCGTACAACTATTAGCTCTTTTCGACTTTGCCAATTATTTGTTTCGATTTTATACCCTAACAAACAATAACATTACTTCTATTTGTAACACGCGAGAATCAAACTAGCTATGTGTTAAAACGATGAACTACAGATGTCTATCAAATATCAACATATTTGATGTTGGCATAAAAACAAATATTGCTACATATAATCACCTGTTGATGTAGATCGTCCCTCTCGCGCTGCAGGAGATCCAGGTCTTTGGCGAGTCGTGCTGCGGGCGAGGGTGTGGAGGCGGGTGAGGGGGGCGACGGGGGCGGCGGCGTGGGGGGCGGCGCCCCGCGGTCGGGCGGAGGCCGAGCGCGGGGGCCCAGCGACCCCGGCTGCAGCTGGCCAGTGCCGTACCTGCACCACACAGTGCACCCACCGTTAATACATTTTTGTCGGAGGGGAAATATTGCGTACAGAACCGCTCACCTTTATAGAGCGGTACGGGACTGACATTGTAGGACTCTTGCCCATTGAACCTTTAACTTTTAATACCTGCCTTTACACGTACGTTCTTTCACACGCGAATAGGCTTTCATGCAGAACATTATGAACATGTAAACACGGCTGGACATATTCTTGAAAATAATGTAAATACTTGCTACCACTTGATTGACATAGGCTACTTTTTGATAAAAAAAATATCTTAATAATGGGATATTATAAATAGAAAAGTTTGTGAGTATGGTGTCTACTACTCTTTCAAGCAAAAACTACTGAACGGATTTTGATAAAACTTTACAGTGACATAGCTTATACGTCAGAAATAATCATAAGCTATAACATATAAATTGGGCGAAATAAATAAATAAATAATAAATAATCTCAGGATAATTCAGACAGCGCCATCTAGACCCAAGTTAAGCTAGCTAAAGCTTGTGTTATGGGTACTAGACAACTAATACAAATACATAGATATTTTTTTTTTTCGTAAATACATACATATTATACATAGAAAATACCCAGACCGATACAAACAATCATACTCATGAATACAAAAGTTTGTGCCGTGCGAGGAATCGAACCCGCGACCATCGGAAGTAAAGCGGTGTGCTAAACCAGCGAGGCCGTCAATATATTACAATGTGTATAAATGTCAAGAATAATGCAGACGAAGTTGCGCGGGTCAGCTAGTTAACCATAAAGCAAAGTGGTAAGCTACACCCAGTATAAAATAAAGCACATACCCCTCTGCAATGAGGTCAGTGGAGTTCACACCATCCGCCACAGTCATAAGATGAGCGATCTTCATCATAGCTGCCTCCAAGTCCGATCTGAGGAGATTCTCTCGTTGGAGGCACTCCGACATGGCTTCTTCCATCGTCTGTATTAAAATATTTTGTTTTTGTAAATGAAAAAATGAAGAAGATAAAGAAATAAGGTATTTCGAAATGATATTTCATAATACTCTTTCTTATTTACAATTACACTGAGTAATTTTTCTGTTTGCATAATTTTTTACGATGATCTGTTCTTTAATCTTAAGAGACTAAATTTTCAAATTATTTTAATAGCTAGTGGTAGTGGTGTACTTGCAATACCGATTTGTTGAATCGTATTTTTTATTATAGACGATTAAGTTTAAAGTGCAATAAGTGTAACTTTTTAAAAATCTATATTTGCATTACAACCGTATATTTAAATAATGTTACCAGCTGTAGTTATCATTAATCGGAACTGACATTTACACCTGTCAATTCAGTCTCCGAGATTAAAAAACAACCTATAGTATTAATGTTATGAATACAAAAGTCTACCGTATAAATATAAAGTGTACTACTTGTATCATTACATAGTATAAAACAATTTCGCTGTCGTATGCTTAAATCTTTAAAACTACGCAACGGATTTTGAAGCGGTTTTTTTTAATAGATAGAGTGATTCAAGAGGAAGGTTTATATATATAACTAGCTGTCCCGGCAAACGTTGTTTTGTATTAAAATAAAAAAAAAATTAGCGGTGGACTACCCCTAACATTTAGGTGGATGAAAAATAGATGTTGGCCGATTCTCAGACCTACTCAATACGCTCACAAAATTTCATGAGAACCGGTCAAGCCGTTTCGGAGGAGTTTAGCAACGAAAATTGTGACACGAGAATTTTATATATAAGAATACATGTACACCCGTGCGAAGCCGGGGCAAGTAGCTAGTAATAAATAATATATGCCAGTTATGTACCTTTCTGTGCATTTCGCAGTTGTCGCATCGCTGCTGCGCGTCCAACTCCTGCACCAGTTCAGTTATCTGCACTTGACTTGATTCCAGCATCTTCGAGTCATTGCGACCCTCTGGAAATAATTCATCGTTATCATTACATATTATAAAACAAAGTCGCTGTCGCTGTCCGTCCGTCCCTATGTACATATGCTTAAATCTTTAAAACTACGCAATGAATTTTGAAGAGGTTTTTAATAGATAGAGTGATTCAAGAGGAAGGTTTCTATATATAATACATGTACACTCGTGCGAAGCCGGGGCGAGTAGCTAGTTATTTATATAAAACAAAAACATCTATTCAAAAGAGCAACACACAAGTTTCTAGCTCATTCTTCTTGTGCTGAATCCGAATGAGTGGTAGAATCAAAAATATAACTATTCAAAAGTGCTTGTAATGAGTTTATTTGAATAAAGTTTATTTCTATTTCTAATATTATCTTTGATGGACTCACTGGTGAGCTTGGCGGACAGATCGAGCAGTTCCTGCGCCTCCACCCTGAGCCTGGTGAGGGAGTGCTCCAGCTCGAGACGTATGTCCGCGCTGAGATCGCGCTGCTGCTGCAGGAAGCCAAGCACGCCGTCCTCCTCCAGTTCCGATAGGATCGAGTTCAGGTCGGGTGCGAAGTGCACGTGCTTCCCGCGGGGTACCAGGTTGCTAGTGTTGAGGTCCGTGGAGATATTCGGCGTCGACGGCCGGGACTCCTCATCTCCTCTGGAAAAATAATACAAATAATTAGCTGTTATGCCCGAGGTTCGGATCCCTAGCGATGCCCTCAGACTAAAGTTGTATCCGCCAGGCAGGATCTGGTATTCAGCCGCTCCATAAGTCCTAAGTTGGATTTGGAGTGACATCTCTCGACTCTGACAACTGGAATCGCCCCCTATTGTTGACAGCCTCGGTGGTCTAGTGGTTTAGCACACCGCTTTACTATCCGATGGTCGTGGGTTCGATTCCTCGCACGGTACCAACATTTGTATTCATGAGTATGTCTGTTTGTATCGGTCTGGGTGTTTTTGCTATATATAATATGTATTTATTTATAAAAAAAATGTATCCATGTATTTATATCAGTTGTCTAGTACCCATAACACAAGCTCTGCTTAGCGTGGGACTAGATGGCGCTGTGTTAATTGTCCTGAAATATTATTATTATTGTTCGGTGAAGTTGTAAAAGCCAGCTGTGGCCAACGGCATTAGAGTAGCCCGCAAGAAAAATTGCTGTTATCTACGAGTTTTATCTGTACCATCTAGTTCCAAGCTAATTAGAACTTGTTATAACACAAGTTCTAATAAGGACTTAAATAAATTTTAATTGTAAATACCAACCTAATATACTTAGAAAACACCCAAACCAAAACAACAATCATACTCATGAATACAAATGTTTGTACCGTGCCAGGAATTGAACCTGTGAATTAAAGCGGTGTGCTAACCGCTAAATCACCGAGGCCGTTAATTTATTTTATAATTGTAATGTATTCACAGCTTTATAGTGGCGAGAGTAGCGAGCAAATCAAACACGTATAAGATGAGAAGTGCGAACATATAATAGTAAAGTAACAACTATTGGCAGACTTCCAAACTCGGTAGGTTATTAATTTCGCGTGTAACCCCACGTGGACGTATATAGCTGCAATTAATTGTGGTAAAGCAGCATCCACACTGTTAATGGCAGAGAAAATAATATTCAAATAAACTTATATTCTGAACACTCGTATTGTTCCTTTTTTTCTATTACTATGTCCAAAATTATACATTCCGAGAAGTATGTGCTAGTAACTCACTTTAGGCAAAAGTCATAACATTTACTTATTAACAGTTTTATAGCCTCGATAGTTCAGCGGTTTGGCATACCGCCTTTCTTGCGATAGTCGAGATTCGATACCTCGCACGGTGTAAAAAATGTATATTCATAAATACGATTATTTGTATCGGTCTGCAAATAAGAATCACTAGTATGTAACGACGCAATATGCATTTGCAACAATGCATGTTGCGTCGTTTAAAATCAACCGTATGCTAATTGAAATAAGCACTGATTACGATATTAGAACCCGTATGTTTAAAATCAACCCTATGCCCATAGAAATAAGCACAGATTGCTATAAAAAGTCTGTCCCCCTTTCTCCCTTAATTATATCAGTACCGACCACCAGTCACGCACGTTCCCTTATTTAATTAAAACATTAATTATGGATATAACATCGAAACTGGACATTCGTTCAGTTGAGTTTCTTGCCAGTTCTTCTCAATTGAATATATATGCATAGTATATAGAATACTGAACTGGACGGTAGAGGAAATAATAATAATAATAATCTCAGGATTCCCACAGCGCCATCTAGACAATTCTAGCTAAAGCTTGTGTTATGGGTACTAGATAACTGATAAATATACATAGATATATTTTTTTTGTAAATACATACATATTATAGATAGAAAACACCCAGATCGATACAAACAATTATACTCATGAATACAAATGTTTGTGCCGTGCGAGGAATCGAATCTGCCACCATCGGTCGTAATCGGTTGATTTAATTTGGTGCGTGATAATAAGCCCAGTAGAATACAGATACGAGACTGACCTTTCTTACCTCACTCTTCAACACAAACAATATTTTCCCTAGCATGTGTAGTCAATATATTTCTATAGTAGAACTGTCCGCAAAATATATAACTTAGTCTGGAATATGTAACGAATATATAATCATCAACTTGTCATTCCGATTTCATAAAATAAATATTCCAGACTAGCTGTAAACGTGATTTCGTCCGCGTGGAATTTAACTGTATTTTTCTAAAATAATGGTAGCCTAAGTTACTCCTTATTAGATCAGCTACCTGCCAATAAAAGTCCCGTCAAAATCGGTCCAGCCATTTCAGAGATTAGTCGAAACAAACAGACAGACAAAAATTGTAAAAAATTATATTTTGGTGCATGTACCATATTTATATTCAGATGCACGTAGTAAAAAGCGGTTATTTCAATATTACAAACACACACTCCAATTTTATTTACATGTATAGATTAAATGTTATCCGCGAATCCGCGACTACAGGAAGTTAAGCGCTATGCTACACGGCTAGACAAATTATATACGTTGTGTACTTGTGTATCTTTAAATCTTTTTAATTATTATTACCCGTGTATAATAAAAAAAGTTTCTGTAATATATGTGGGAACGAGAAGGAAGCATTATGTCGTTTCTAGCGCACACTGCTGGCGTCATAAGGCCGTGAACGGCGAGTGAGAACGGTGGTGTATCTTAAAGAGTCGATAAGTAGGAAGCTGCTGAAAACCATCGAGGTAAATTGCCACTTGCCAAGATAGGCTAACTGGCCTGACTTCATTCAAATTCAAAATATATTTATTCATGTAGGTCTATTACAGACTCTTATGATATGTCAAATCTACCGTCAGTTCGGAATGATTTCGAGATGAGAAGAACTGACAAGAAACTCAGCTCGTATTCTTTTAAAAAAAATGTTGTCCATGCTTATCTTATCCTCTTAACATTCCATTATGATCCCTAAAATAAACGACACAGGTTGGACTCACTCGTCAGCATCAGTGAGGCGGTGCAGCAAACTGGCGAGGACGGTGCGGTTGAGCTCGTCCTCCGCGCTGGCGCAGTACGCCACCAGCTGGCCCACCACGCGGTGCAGGCTCACTGCCACGCGCTTCAGGCCATCCCTGCAAACATATTTACTTATACATACTATCTGACCATGCAAACGTTGTTGAAAAATTAAAATCGCTATTAAAACTGTTGTATTTTTTTAATTATAAAAAAATGTTAGGGGTGGACAACCCTTATCAATTAGGGTATGAAAAATAAAATGTATATCCGCGGATACGGATCTGATTACGGATATTTGATTTCAAGATCCGCGGATACGGATACGAATATCATACGGATATCCGGTACATCATTACATAAAACCTTAGCAAATTACACTAAATGGCCATAGTTCGAGACCTCTGCACCGTAGAATTTCAGAACTATATTACACCAGAACACATATATATTGTTTTCAGGTATAAAGCAAACGTCCTGGCGGTAGTAATAGGTGAAAAAGAGCTTATCCATACAAACATCTATTAACAAAACAGCTTGACCTCCTTCCTTCCACTTTCGCAGTGTATTACATACCCGAAAGCAACTCAGTCTATATGTCGTGCTTTCACGCCAAAACTACTCAACCGATTTAAATGAAATTTGGTACACAGATAATCTAGATACTGAGAGAAGACATAAGCTACTTTTTAATGCTAAAAAGAGGTTAAAAAGCTCGATGAAAGATTGTATAGAAGTATCGTCATTTTTAACGCTAGAAGATTGAAACATATTTTTAGGACATTGAAAGTTTAAGCTTGAACTTATTTTTTTTAGATGAATGTTTGTAAAAATTTACTCATATGGGGTCAAAGCAAAATAGGGGACAGAAATAATAAAAAAAATTTAGGACATTTAAAGTTTGTAAAAATATTACCTTAAGGGTGTAAAATAGAATATGGGACAGTAATTAAAAAAAGCTAATCTTACCTTTCCTTGGTGACCTCCTCGAGGTGCCTGTTCTGGTCGAAGCTGTGGTTGCGCCGCTGTTTCCATTTACCCTCGCCGCCTGACACCTCGTCGCGTAGACTTGACAACTGTTGAATATTAAATATCTTTAATTAAAACTGAAACTTATTCCAATTCCATTTAGTGTTACATTAGCTTGTATTACTATCTATGTATAATAGTAAAAAAGTACAATGGAACACATGTTTAATTAGGGAATTTTCTATAATTCCAATGAAAAATTGTAATCAATATACTTCTTTATTTTGAAGCCTTAAAAATACTTGTACTGTAGGTACTTTCAACCATTATATCACTTAAAAAAACTTTTAAAACTGTATTTCAGTAATAAATACGACAATATATATTTTTTCTCTATAGTTCGCTTATGGTCTCTATATTATTATGTATTTTTTTACATTTTGGCGCCAAAGTTATTTCACCTTTTTAAAAGCAACGGAACAAACCCAAATAGCTATAATAATGAGACAATATTCAAAGTGGGATATTTAACAACACATGTACAGAATAATTAAAAAGAAAAAAATAAGCCAAAAGTATGTCGCTACAAAAGAAAACGGCAGATATTACTATAAAAAAAAATACCCAGACCGATACAAACAATCATACTCATGAATATAAATGTTTGTACCGTGCGAGGAATCGAACCCGCGACCATAGGATAGGAAAGCGGTATGCTACACCACTAGACCGCCGAGGCTGTCCACTATATTTGAACTCACACAGAATGAACACAAATAAAACTTGTGTAAATAATTTCCGTACCATCAACCTTCTCAGCATCACCATGTTGGGTTCCTCACATCGTAGTCACAGTATAAAGTAAGACACTACTATATACTAAGTACCAGAACATCGCACACTGTCCACTCTTGTTAACTTTTCATTTTCACTAGTTTTAGTTCTAGTTCATTATTCACTAAAGTTTGCCAGTAAATTTATATATTACCTAATATATCTATATATATATATATATATATATATATATACATATAAATAAAATTGGAGTGCCTGTTTGTAATATTGAAATAACCGTTTTTACTACATATAAATATAAATATGGTACATACACCTAAATAACATTTTTTACTATTTTTGTCTGACTGCCTGTCTGTTTGTTCCGGCTAATCTCTGAAATGGCTAGACCGATTTGGACGGGACGTTTATTAGCAGGTAGCTGATGTAATAAGGAGTAACTTAGGCTACTTTTATTTGAGAAATATTCTCTAATTATCTTTTTTATTAAATTCCACGCGGACGCAAATAAAATTGAAGTGTCTGTTTCAATTCCAAATTACGAGCTTTTCATTCCATTAAACCCATATGAATGTACATATGGAACTTCAGCAAATTCTTCCTTTTTAAATTTTTGTCTGTCTGTTTGTTCTTGATAATCTCTGAAACGGCTGGACCGATTTTGACGGGACTTTTACTCTCAGATAGCTAATATTATAAGGAGTAACTTAGGCTACTTTCATTTTAGAAATTTTATTCAGATTCAATAAAAAAAAGTTAATTTAGTTTAATAAAAAATAGCTAATGTTATAAGGATTAAATTACGTTACGTTTCTTTCACAAATTTTATTTTATTTTAATGAAACAACTTAATTTCAAAAACAAAGTCGTGAGTAACTTTTAGCATTGTATTGAATGTATTCAAAAATAACTTCAACGAAATATGCTTTGTTATCTGCGAATGACGTTAAACATTGCAAATATAAATTAGGTCACTTGCTTATTTCATGTGCCGACATTATATGAAGTACAAAATACAGATGATAAACTCTACTTAATTCGGAACTGGACTCGACTTGTTTCCGTCGAAATTAACATTACTTTTTTATTATCTACATCTATACCTACATATAAATAAATTTGGAGTGTCTGTATGTAATATCGAAATAACCCTTTCTTACTACACGCTATATGAATATAAATACGATACATACACCAAAATAACATTTTTTACAATTTTTGTCTGTCTGTCTGTCTGTCGGTCTGTTTGTTCTGGCTAATCTCTGAAATGGCTGGACCGATTTTGAGGGGACTTCTTTTGGCAGGTAGCTGATGTCGTAAGGAGTAACTTAGGCTACTTTTATTTTAGAAAATTAAAATTTAATTCCAAGCGGACGATGTCGCGGGAATAGCTAGTATATACTAAAATAAATTTAGCCTGTGTGATGTTTAACATGAATATACACTCGGCCGGTGACCTCTGTGGTCTAGCAGTTTAGCACTGCTTCAATTCCGATCGTTGCGGGTTCGGATTCTCGAGTATACATGTATATGATATTGCTTGTATCTGTGCGTTTCTTATGCCCATTATGTATGTATAATTAAAAACTTTATTGTGTTCTCTAGAACCCATAACACAAGCTCGACGATTCGATAATGGATGGCGGTGAATGAATTAAAAAAATAACAACCATTCTCATCACCCAATCAAATAACGAGGACTAAAAACTCTAACATGAGGTAACGTTAGATTTTTCTGTTTCTATCTTTTTAAAAAAATATTCCATTAAACAGAAATTTCCGTGCGTTGCAATAAAACTAAACAGACCCGTATATGTATAGACAACACCACAAATTATTACTAGCAGTTACGTACGTACTACCCACGTAAACAGGAACAAAACATAGCCAGCTGTGCACAGAAATAAGTTAAGGGGAAAAACACTGTCAAGTGTGAGACGACGGCGCGTTGTAAAGTGATGAATGAAGTGTAACATATTTGTATTGTGTTATGGGTACTAGTTAAGTGGTATAAAGATATGTTTTTTTGTAAATCTATATCCAGATATATATATATATAACTCAAAGGTGACTGACATAGTGATCTATCAACGCACAGCCCAAACCACTAGACGGTTCGGGCTGAAATTTGGCATGCAGGTAGATGTTATGACGTAGGCATCCGCTAAGAAAGGATTTTGATTCATTTTACCCCCAAGGGGATAAAATAGGGGATGAAAGTTTGTATGAAATTTTGTCAATTTTAAAACGATCGGGATAAAGCTATAAAGATTTTGATAAATTCCACCCCTAAGGGGATAAATTAACGCGAGCGAAGCCGCGGGCAAAAACTAGTATGTACATAAAATATATCGCTGATTAAATGCCAAAGAGCCACAAAGCAAAAAAAAACGGGAACTATTTTTTTCCAAAAATGGTACCTAAATCGTTATATTTTTTATATTAAAAAAAGGCACCCGTGATTCTTGAGCTAACACATAGACATAACATTAAATAGATTCGTAAAAAAAGTAAAAATATCATAGTGAAAATTTTGATGAGCTCTCCTGTAAAATTTCCGCTTTGGCATTTAATCAGCGACATGTACATAATGAGTGGTAGAATAAAAAAATGAGACTATAATAAGTTAAAAGTGCGTATAATTAAGTTTATTTGAATAAATATTATTATTTCTAATATACATAGAATAGCTAGCTCTTTTAGGAACACAAGTTTGATGGTAAGTAATTGAATAGCGCTGTATGAATTAAATATGAACCATTTTCATCACCCAATCCAATCATTAGGACAAAAAAATCTAACACCTCACTTTAAAAAAAATCACCCTATTTAGTGCTGTACTAATGACCTGAACCGTACTAGATCTAGACTCTATAGGCAAATGAAACCCAAGGATAGTATTGAACTGTGTATACTCTGTACTAAGAATATTCTCTAGGATTCCATTTTTTTCGGACTACTCTAATACTTTTGGGCGCAGCTGGCTTTGACAGATTTGCCGGACGATAGGGGGCGAGTGCAGATGTCACTCCAAACCAAAGGAAGGACTTTAGTCTGAGGGCACCGCTAGGGGTTCGAACCTCGGCTCAGGACATCGTAATATCAATCCCAGTTTGAATTGGACGGGGGATCGATCGGAGGGGTCCCCGATTACAAAACGTAAGACATAATGCAAAACATCTTGCCACTGCGATGTAGAAATTGTGCATAAATGACACAGTGATATCTAATCCACTTTTTGGAACTATTATCTACTATAACTAATAATTAAATCACGAGGAGTTTCTCAAGCAAGTCATACGTGCAAACTTACTGAGGTTATAGACATCTATACATATAAATAAAATTGGAGTATCTGTTTATAATATTGAAATAATAGTTTTTTACTGCATACATATGTATACAGTACATACAGTAAAATAACATTTTTTACAATTTTTTCTGTCTTTCTGTTTGTTCTGGCTAATCTCTGAAATGGCTGGACCGATTTTGGCGGGTCTTTTTTTGGCAGGTAGCTGATGTAATAAGGAGTAACTTAAGCCACTTTTATATTAGAATAAAGTCGCGGGTACAGCTAGTGATAACTACAGTGAGGAACCCTAAAATCACTTAACACGTGGTTCCATTCAATCTGCACATGTGTCCAATGCGGGCAAGTTTCAAACCGGATCCCGGGGTTTACTGAATAAGGGCTGTTTTTGTGTGTACATCCTATTTTATGTTAACTAAAGCATGGCACCGTAATTATAAGTGTGGAGAGCTATTACATGTTATTATACACATCTATACAATAATATAATAAGTAAAAAAAATATTAATTTGAAATAAATGCAATGAAATTAAATAAAATTTATTTGCGAGAAACACTAAATAATACTGATAAATAACCCAGTGGCAGTGGAATATGATAGGTTGAGCATGAGGTCAGGTCAGTTGACCCATCGTGGCAAAATCACCAGGAATTCATCACGATAATTAATAATTTTTTCTAGGTTCATGTTTCATGATGATGATGATTCCATTACTAGTGAAGGAGTAGTCAATTTATTTTACTAACAATACTCTTTCCCCCAAACACAATAGATCTATGCAGGTCGCAGTCCTACAAGTCTCTTTAGCACCGAGTAATAAACAAAACTAGTTGAATTGAAAAGCCGTTACTACGATAATAAAAGTTACTAATGAAATTATAAGCAGTAAACACAATAACAGTCTATGGGTACAGCAAGAGCCCACTTGTAGAACGAATGCTGGGAGTCATAATTGTGATTTACGATCGCACCAACACCAATATTGGGGTTACGATACAATA